CCCGAGAACCCTCCCCCGCCGTCCCACCCCCACTTACCCGAGAACCCCGCCCCAATGACGATGTTGCTGAACTTGGGGTGCCGATCTAGAACGAAGTCTTCATCTGGGGTGTTCTGCGGGGAGCCAGTGCGCGTGTCAAGGAGGGCAGAGCACCCCCCAGGGTGGGCGAGGGGGACACTGGCGCCCTGGTTCCAGCTGGGGTGGGGAGGGTCTAGGGGCACCCAAGTGACTTTGGGGTCCATCGCCTGGCCTGTCCATCACCACCCATGTGAGGCATGACCTGGGAGCAGGTGTCTAAGCAGAGGCCAGGCTGCCTGGGAGCGAGGACTCCTGGGTTCTGGCCCTGGCAGGGGAGTAGGGGCTGGCAGGTTGGGGACAGGGGGACTGGGAGCCAGGACTAGCTCCAGGCAGGGGGTTCCCACGTGAGCTGGCAGGCTCTGGGAGGGGAGTTCTTGGGCCCAGCGTCTGCCCCTCACCGTGTACATGCAGTGCTCCACCACGGCTGGCTCCGGCACCAGCCCTGGCAGGTATTTGCTGACGAAGTCCTGGAGGATCTGGATGTCGGGCAGGGCCGAGGCCTCGGGCGGCCGGTCACGCTCCTCGGGGTCTGCCGGGCTGCCAGAGTGACAGCAGATCTGGGGGGGTTAGGAGGGAGGGTCAGGCCAGCCCTGCTCCTTCCCAGCTCGGGCCCCGCGGAGCACCACTGGGCTGGGCTCTCCCCCAGGCTCCCCCCCCCCCCGAAGCTCTGCGCCCGCCCCCACCCCCACCCCCGCAAGGGCAGGGTTGGCAAACCCAGGGCTGCAGCAGTGGGGCTACATCAAGCCGGGAAGTGCCCATATCCTGCCTGCCCCACAACAAAGTGTGTGGAGGTGTGTGTGCACACGCGTGTGTGGGTGTGGGTCTATGTACATGTGTGTGTGTCTGTGTGCACACACGTGCGAGAGGGTGTGTGTGTGTGTGGACATGTGTGTCTGTGTGCACACATGTGCAAGAGTGTGTGTGTGTGTGTATGGACATGTGTGAGTGTCTGTGTGTGTACATGCGTGTGAGAGGGTGTGTGTGTGTCTGTGTGTGCACATGCGTGCGAGAGGGTATGTGTGTGTATGTACACGTGGGTGCGTGGGTGCGTAAGCTGGGCCCCCCTCCCTGCTGCCCCGTCTCACCTTCACCAGTCCTGGGTACTCGTTGGAGGGCAGCCCGTAGATGTGGTGGGGGGCGCAGAGGGCCAGGAAGCAGGGGAAATTCGCTGAGACTCCATAAGCCCCAGGGACCTTCTCCTTCCAGTAGCAGACGTTGATGCGCAGCGTCTGCGGGGCAGGGAGCACATGGGTTGCTGCCACCCGTGGTGAGTCGTCTCTTCCCTGCCGGGGGGTGGGGGATGTGGGCGAGAGCGATGCGGCTCCCTTGGGGCAGGGGCATGTGGGGGTGGCAGTGCAGTGAGCGAGGTTCGGGGCCAGCCGGACCCACTACCACGCAGCAGAGCTGGCAGGCAGGGTGGGAGGCCAGGTCTCCTCCTGGCTGGTGCCTGGTGCCCTGTGCCCCTCTGCTCAGCCTGACCCAGCTGAGCACCTAGGCCAGTGCCCCCATCCCCGTGCCACATGTCACAGCAGCTCCAGGCAGCGACTGCAGGGCTCTGACCCCCCAAACAGCGACCCCCGGCAAGGTGCGCTCGCTCCTCCCAGCCCTGTGCGCACAGGCATGGAGCCTGCAGGCCTGCGCAGGGACACGGCGCCCCACGTGCCCAGCCAGGCGTGAGCCAGGGCAGGGACACGGAGCCCCACGTGCCCA